GAGAGGGTTTGGTTGCGTGTGAACACTTTAACATGCAGCTGCCAGTCGAGTAACAGTAGTCGCTTTGTGCCAAAAATGCTGAGGTGCGTCCCTGCAAAAATTAAACCCACTCTGGATCAAGATAGCTGGTAATATATGGGCACAAGAAGAAAAATGCAATACAGAGAAGGATGCTGAAAAAGAGCAACATCGATTAAACAATTAATGTTAGGGGAATGATGGTGAGTCTGAGGTCAGTTTCCCAATAAGCATAATCTTTTCTCCCTCTGGTCTCATAAATTAAATGTTCCTCTCACTTCATGAGTGTTCTCTCTTGACCCCCTTGAACTCTCTGTCCTGCTGCTGGCGGACATCCATTGACACATGATGAGTCTTAGGGAAGTTAAGCTGCAGGACAAGGATAGATGAAAAGAGGACATTCATTAACAATGAGACAAATGTGGGGGAACAGATTTAGTATTTTATGATACCAGGATCAGCTGACCATCATGAGTCACTGCACTGACATACAGAAGATAAATTATCCCTGGATGAGCTTTCAAATCTGGTCTAGTGGAACGTCATACCACTTTAATGGATATTTTATGCTTCTTACTCCTGGATAGGCAAACACATAAGTTAGAACACATCGCCATTAGGTGGTGATGAGCTAAAATGCCTTGACATGGAAACAGATCAGCTTTTTATCACTTCTCTTTGAGCAGGAACGTCTCCAAACAGTTCAGACATTAATGCATTAGTTTTTTCAGATTGTAAAATTTCAACTGAACTTAAACTCTTTTAGTAGAGCCATGCTGCACTTACAATGAGTGGCTTTGAAAAGCCAGACAGCTATCTAACAATGAAGTTGAGATAATCCAGTCCTTAATGGTTTTGTGGATTTATTCACAATTTTCTTCCTTTTTGGTTATGTAAAAGTGGAGCAAATACAAAAGGGAATATTTTTAACTATATATAAAGTGTAAAAAGTTTATGATAACTAACATAACTGATTTTTGCAACAGAAAATAAAGATAGCATGAAAAATTGGCTCAGAAAGGTTCAAAGTTTAACTTAGAAGGATATCTCAAATTATTCAAACCAACTGAGAGGCCTAAATTAAGAAAAATCCTGTTTAAGAAAGAAATATGTTTGACGTACAGCACCATGGTAAGCCTGCATGATTACAACCAAATGATTAAATCAGATTTTTCTAAATGGACACTGACAAGTGTCCATAAGAGGGTAGTAAGAGACCAGTGAGTAGTTGTTGGCATAAGAGACTGCCCTTTTCATATATGATCATGTTCAGGTTGTTTTAATTATTAAATTTTATTCTCTCTAATTGTTTGTGCTACCTTTATGCCATGGCAACGCATTTGTCTTATTTTGTTTATCAGGCACAGCACTTTGAATTATTTCGCTACTGAAATGTGCTACTCATATAAACTTGCTTTAGTTTGCATTACAATAAACCCAGCCGGCTTAGCAAACCAGCACAATTGGCTTTCACTCAAAAAACAGCATTGATCAGTTTAAGAACGCATTCCTTCATCCAATTTCTTTATTAACTGTGGATTATCGGATTCTATAATCAAAATAATAAAGACTTTATATTGTATATGCTAAAGTTCACGACAGAATTAGCCAGTTAGCCTGTTGACAAAAGAAATAAGCAAATTTTTGCATTGCAGAAAAACTTTTACACATCTATTTTCAGGCATACTTACTGTATGAAAAGCTTTTACCAGATTAGAACTGTATATCAGTATATCACAGGTGGAAAAAGGTTCATGCTTATTTCAGTCAATACTATTCAAGTGCTACATTTGAATAATAATAAAAACATAAATCTAGGAGGGAAGCAAATTATTCTGACCAGCTATAGGCTTAATCTGATGAAGGCTATTTCGCTTTGGAATGTGCTTATATTAGTCCCACAAAAACACATCTCAATCTTGTGACAAAGTGGTTTGTTCAAACTTAATTTAGAGTTTTGGCCATATAGAAAATTCAACTAACACCATCAGAATTAATACAGATAATAAGCTCAAAATAAACCAGTAATACTGTAATTTAAAAAAATGAAATGCTTTTAAAAAGCCCCATCAACAGCAGCTTGTATTCAGTGATGATGCACTGCTGCCCTCTACTGTTTAGAAATTGAATACCTTTTGGCCCGTAACTCATCTGATAGATGATTGAGGGAAGCTGTGAGTTATGCAGCATTACAACAGATTCTGTAGGAATACCACACTAGATAGAAATGCCTCTATTTCTGACAGAGAGGAGGACACACAGATTCAGGGGATGAATGCCCTTCAGTTTGCATTGGCAAAAACTCAGTACTAACTCACAAGAGATCCCTGATTACTTTATTTGAACTTTTGTTTGAGGTTATAGCTGCAAACAGAAGACAGCAATTATGAGCAGGCTTCCTCTTCCACCAAAGCCAATAAGGCTGATGAATGATGTGCCTGTTATCCCTGAAAAAACAAGACTGAAGTCCCTGTCACTGATTTTGGACATATGAGCTTGTAAAACTCAATCATAACTGTAAAAGAAAATCTAATTAATAGAAATATACTAAAATTGATCTCAAAGCTATATAAACTGTAAACATGTTGCATAATTTGTGCCAATATAAGAACAGAAATATATGTATTATAATAACATCCAATGAGTCCTTACAACCTGTAGATGGAGCAATAATACAGAAAGTGGTACACTTAAGTTCAGCAGCACAACATCAGCTTGCTGGACTTATGGAAATTAGCCAGTAAACTTTAATGATTGTAGAAAATAGAATGATGGAAAAAAATAATACCATAATCATCATATTTTATTCACATTCATGGCTATTTGGCAGTGAGTTTTTTGACAGTTTAAAATCTTTTTGCACGAATTTTAAACTCACTGGAAATTCTTGTATCTAAAAAAAAATATTTTTTTATTTTCAGTCAGATATTAGATGAGATCAATTATTACATTTGGAATAAATATTAAAACCAACAGTTTTGATAATGGTGGATGAATGGTTAAACATTTGTCCAAAAAGTCAAAGTAAGCCACTTTTCAGCTTAGCCTTTAGACAAGCATCAAAATAGATAAGTGGCCATGATAGACTGTACTTTTTTAGCATTTTTTCATGTCAGGAGTCTTGACCAAAGTACTTTACACTTCATTCAGTCACTCTGATGACTGAATGAACCCTTACTCTGATGGTGGCAAACTACATTGTAGCCACAGGTGCTCTAGGGCTCACGGACAAAAGCGAGTCTGCCATAAACAGGCACCACTAGGCCCTCTGACTACCATCAGTAGGCAGGTGAAGTGTGTTGCCCAAGGACAGAACCACTCTGAAAGCCAGAGCCCAGATTTGAACCATCAACCCTTCAATTTCAAAGCATACTCCTACATCCTCCTACTCCTACATCTGCCCCAGATTGGGCGATGACTAACTTGTGGTCCGATACTGGCTGTCATATGACTTATATATAAGACTTATACATATATATATATTTCAGTATATGTGTCAAAAAACGAATGGGCAGTAACAAACATTTTGCAGTCCATCTATGCTGATCACAATAAACCAACAAGGGAAATGGACTAGCACAATAACTATATTTTCCAAATAAATCAATAAAGACAGACCAGATTTTGATGAGGAATTTAGTTTAATTAAATTTGTGCTATTTAAATCAATGTATTGTTCTAAATGATATAGATACGTACATTTAATGAGTTGAACAGTGTTTTTATCTTTAATTACATAGAAGACAGCATCAAACTCATAAGACTAATAAATTAGCAAAAATTATGAATAGATCATCTTTGATGTACCCGGTATATTGTTGTAAATAACTTTGTTTGCTTTATATTTGTTGTCAGTCTTTAGTTGACATACTAACTTTAAAACCTGAATGTTCAAGCACAGACCCAGATCATCATTTACCATTTCATATAACTTGTCAATAAACCTAATTTTTACTGGTTTCTCTTCTGGGAGTTTCTCTGCATGTTCAGAGGCTTAAAGAAAATCATGACAAAAAAAACTTAAATTTTCTCCTACAAAATTGATCCTGACATACTGTTTTATCCATTGAAATGCTTTAAGCCCCTTTGGAACCCTGATCCCCTTTACACTGACAGAAGAATGCTCCAAATATAAAGGCTCTGGAGGTGGTCACGGCAAAGTAATTCAATTTAGTTTATTTATACAGCACCAATTCACAACATATCATCTCAAGGCACTTTACAGTTCATCAGATCATACAGTCCAATTGATTCAAATTGTTCTATCTAAGGAAACCAGTTGATTGCATTGGCCCATTGACTCCAATGTAATCCCTCACACTAAGTATGCTTGTAGCGACAGTGGAGAGGAAAAACTCCCTTTTAACAGGAAGAAATCTCTGGTGGAACCAGGCTCAGTGTCAGCGGCCATCTGCAGAGGCCGACTGGGGTTCAAGGAGACAGAAGCAGAGATTCAAAAAGCAGCTGTAAAAGGCGCCCCGTCCAGGAAACACAGCCAGGCAGATGAGTTCTGAGCCAGCTCCCATGTCAGAGGATGAAGAGAGCACATCCAGTCACAGTCTACACTGGAAAACAGGTCGATCTCCAACATCTCCAAGGAACTGTTCGCCCTTATCTGATGTATTGCGATTTTCAGGTAGAAAAGGGACTGCTAGAGATAAAATTTAGGAAGATACAGGTCCACCCAATATCAATGCATTTAAGTTAGAGTTGAAAACATTTAAAGTTTTCAGCATCTATTTATATTGTTTTCTGTTAAAATATAATATTTTTTTTGGAAAATCAACTCTCTGTAAACTGCATTAGTTGCTTTCTTGTAGAGATTTCAGAGAGCTGTTTAAGCTCATGTGACATGTCATCTCTTTATGATCAAAAACGGGAAAAACCTACCCCATTGCGGGGAAATGAGACAACCTTAAAAAAAACACACACACACACACATATGGTATGAAGGAGGAGAGAAAGATTTGGGATGAAGGTTCGTCAGAACCGGTCGCTCAGTCAGAGGAGTGGATGTATGTGGGCAGATGGAGCGGCAGGAGGTGTGAAGATAAATGCGCCCTTTCATTTCCAGCAGAGACGCAGAGAGACACGGATGAAGGCGCACAGGAATGAAGAGCGAGAAAAGGTCATGGATAATAAGTCATTGGGTTAAGAAGGGCCAGCGCTTCTGCTCCAAGTTGGAGAAGAGTTTGCGTAAAGTTCGGTCTTCAAAGACGCGCTGCGGGGTCCGGAGGGATTGACGCTCCCAGCCGCTGAGTGACAGCTGAAGGTGTTGCTCATTACAGCTCATTCAATCCTAACTGGAAACTTCAGTTGGACAGCACAGGTGCACGCGCTCTGTTTTTCTATATTTTGATCGCGCGAGGACTTGAAATATTACAGCAAACAATATTTTATTTTTCTCAATTATTTAAACCTTTAATAACTAGTCTGTAAATGAACTCAAGCCACATTTGTTCCGCTGATATTGAAAAACAGAGTGGATTTTACTCCTGTCCTGATGTGAATATGTTGTGGATAAAAACTCTCTGCGTTTCCAGCTGGTCAGGACAGAAAACTTTGTAAAAACAGAAGAGGAAAGAGAAGTAGAAAAAAAAGGACTAAAGGGACTGCTTTCATTCAGTTTTATAAATGGAGCTGCGCAAATATCTGTTGTGCCTGGAGTTTCTCCTACTCCTGAAAGGTAAGTTTTTTTTTTATATTTCAAAAGAAATTATCCACTTAAGCCGCTAGTACTTTTAAGTAAAATATATATTTTTTCAGAATAGATTTATATGCGCAGAAAGAGGCATTTCATTTGTTTACTTATTTTAGAAATACCAGTTGTTGAAACATTAAAATATAACATAGCCCTGTGATTATTATTGCAATAGAACACCTGCTCATAGTTAATAAGATGTATATGTAAAGTTGAGTGGAAGAAAAATAGCATTTTTTTGAGAGTTTGGGGCAGTTTCTTAAAGTTTGCCCTGCAGCTGTGTTCGGAGCTGTATGTGCAGCATTCAGAAGAATCTGACACTTGGGGTGCAACATTAAAATCTTTGTGTTAGGCCATTTAAAATATTTTCATGAGGGAGAAAAGGGCTGGTCTCTTTCCCAGTGGTCCAATAAAAATACATGTTTAATTTTCATCTGGGCGTGATGGTTGTAGAGCTTGGAGGAAGAGTAAAAAGGCAAAAGATCAAAGATGCTTGAGGTTTAGTTCAAGGTTTTGGCATAGAGTAATGATTTGCAGTCATACCATCTTCTATTCTGCAAGTGAAAAATCAGAGAAAGTGTGCAGAGACATTTTAAGACATTTTTATTACTTCCTCTCATATTAAGCTTTGATGTTGGTTTGATTTTCCAGTGAGATTTGGTGTACACCTGCACTCCCCAAAGAACTAATGGATGATCTGAAGCCCCAAGTATCACTGTGCTTAACTGGCCTTCAAACCAGCTTGACCCCATAGAGATGAGAGACATTAGAGACAAACATGTACAGGAAATAGCAAAAGACCACATTCCAACCTGGACATGATGAACACATCAGCAGAGGCAATGTGGTTATCTTCATACATTGTTGCATTAATGCATGAACTCGTGTAAAGTGAGCCGTGAGCAAGTTTTGAGTGACCATACTGAAGATTTAACAGTCTTGTTTCATCAGGTCAATATTTTGGTATTAAAATATTAACTTTTCTTTAATTAAATAATTTTTTTCTAAAAATTTTATTAAAAGCACCAATAAGCTAATTAGAAGAAACAGTCTAAACGTGTCACTCTGTGTTCTATTCAGTCTATATATGTCAATTCAGTTTAGTTTAGTAGAATTGCATCACTAAAGTACATGATCTTTAAACAAGATATAAATTAACTACGGTATATCCCTGTATTCTCTTAGAAAATAGAAAATAGAAAAATATCTCAGTGCCTAAGAAGCTAAGTCATGTCATAAGGGTTAAACGCCCTGTAGCTGATTCTTGTTTTAAACTCTCTAAGAAAAATCATTTTTACATGCTATATTGTTTGGAAAAAGAGGTTATTTTGTTAAAATAAATGACTCATTGGTTGCTCACATGCACGAGTTCAGGCATTTTTAGAGTAGGCTTCTATCTTTGCCTCGTGAGTTTTCTCTGCCAATGAGGTCTATTCTATAGAGTTTCCGGTTTCCAATCAGCCACTCAGAGAATTTCCCTACAAGAGCATGCTTTTATTCTGCTTTTCCTTTCTTTCTATGTTACTGTTTAATTCATGTAAAGCACTTCAAAATGTCTTTATTCTGAACTGTACTGGATACTTGCCTTGCATGGCTGTTGGTGTGGGAACCTTCAATACATCAAGTATAAACCTGGTTTAAGGCTTCACAAACAGAGGGTATCTCAACCCACAAATGTGGTTTGATTCTCTGACAAAAATATAGATCTCAGATTTTTAGATTCTCCTTTAACTTGTTTCAAATGACAAATTTAAAACAAATTTAAATGCTTGAACTTTTTCATTTATTGGAGGTGAAATTCACAAGTTTAAAGGTTACATGTCTTTGTTGAGTCTCCGCTGGCATTAAAGCAGTAGCACGAGAACATGGGTGACTATTTTTTGTGGCTGATCACAAAACCAGTCAAAAATGCAAAGTAGCATAGCCTAAATATTGCAAGAGCCTCCAAAGTCATCAAATGAAGGTAGATCACATTTGCCCTGGGAATAAAAAGGGACCTGCAGTTTAAAAAGATAAGATGCTCTGTTCAAAATAAATGGGACATTTATAGCTTTCTTACCTCAGATGACATTACGTCCCAAAAAAACAGAAGTCCTGTACAGCATCAGATTGCAGTGCTTTTCCTCTTCTCTTATGCAAAAAAACAAAACAGGCGTAATTTCAACTTATTGCCAGTTGGGGCAAACCTCTGTAAAGATTTTAACTTTCATGATGCTCCTTCCAGAATTTTTAAGAATAAACCAATAGTCTTGCATTTTAGATTTTTGCATAAGCTCATTATTTTGTTCAGCTATTATTATACTTTTTGATTTAAACAGTTAATGTTTGCAGTCTGTAACTGAAAACAACAACTAACATCTGATCATTTTCAGCATTTTTTGCAATCACAAATAAAGTTTGACTCCTCTTTACTGACTCTGTGTTAAGAGGCTGTCAGTGAGTGTAGGCTTGTGCTTTTCCAAAGCACTTTATGCATGCTTTTTATTTCAACAGTATAGTTAAATTATAAAAATCAGAGAATTAACCAATATCATACAAGTTAACTATAACTTAATCATGCTTTGTAAATAAAAAAAACATAAATATTGAATTCTTTAAATAGGTGTTGTTGGTAATTAAAGTGAGGCCCCAAATTAAATTCTATTCAGCCCCTCGGATAATTTTATGCAGACCCAAATATTGTAATAAAAAGGAGAAGAGGTTGACTGTAAATGATATGGATAAATATCTCCATGCTGATGCAGCTCTTCTTTTTGGGTCATCAACTTCCTTGACAGACAGCACTTGCCAATAGCACTGCCCCATATGCCTTCCAGAGTTCCCTTATGGCTGTTTCTCTGTGACAGCTGCCCTCTTAGCAGGCATTCCTCAGATGGGTGCGCATAGAATAAAACAGGCATGTGCAGAAAAACACCTGGATACACTCCATGTGTCTAATAGGTCAAACGTGGAGGCTAGTAAAAGAAAAGGTTTATTTTTCATTGAACTTTTTTTTTTTCATTCTAATGTTAGTCCTGTTAATTTCTTAGGAACCAGGACATGTTTTTTTTTTGTTTTTTTTGGAGGAAGTCTTAAATGAGCAGATTTAAAGGATTTGGTCAGAGTTTACATTTTAAAGGCCCATTACTTCCTTATTAATTGTCTGATATTAAAGAATGAGATAAAGTTACCAAAGCCTTAATAAAATTTAAAAAACTTCACACTAGATTAATTTATTGTTTTTGCTGGGATTACAAAGAAATACAACAACTTGAAAGTGACAAAGGTGCATCCTGGACAGGTTGTCAGTTCCTAACAGCGCTAATGCTCAGACAACTAAGTAAAGACTATAGTGTCTAAAAACTCTTAACCTGATATGTTTGTAGTATTGTCCAGAACATTTCAGATTCATTTCCTCTTAGAGCTGACTGAACCCAGCAGCTGCAAGAAATGCTCTCTCAGGTCATATCAGCAGTTCCCATCTCTGAGACTTAAAGACTAAAGCTGCTGTAATGTGGGTCTTGTGGCGTGTTCGTTTTCACCATGAAGCGTGAAAGTCAGCCAGCCTCCGGAGCTAATGATTGCTGCAGCAGGGCAGTCTAATACACCTCACTGAACTGTTTCTGCTGAGCAGAAAGAATATGAAGAAAAAGGCCATTGTTGTCTGCCTTAAAAAAATGTCCGATAGTGAGGCTGATAAGTGGTGGGGGAGCTGCTGTATTATAGCTCGCTTCCATGAAGTAGTATAAGATCAACCTGCTGATTCCTTTTTGTTTTCTTTGCAAAGGGTATGCCAGTTTTCTCAATGCAACATGTCTTTAATGACTTGTGAAGTTTATCAGTAGACTAAAAATGTTGCCCTTTGCAGCAAACTGTGGAGAAAGTAACCCTGCTGCAGTTTTTGTCGCAACAAAGGACAAAGATTGCAAAAAAACAACAGAATTAAAGATGCCAGCATCAGTCCAGCATAACTCATCTCATTAAACTGCCTTATCCGTTCACATCGAACACGAAAAAGCTAAAACTTTTTTACTTGTTTGAATGTTTGCTCTAAGGTCTACAGTAGCTGCTGTAGCTGAAGTGATTGTTTCTGCTTCTGTGTGTCATACTGAAGCATGTAGGTGACTAAGTATGTAATGTTAATGGTTTAAACAGAACAGCCCCTAATGTGGACAACAGTACTCCCATGCCTGTTATGCTTTACTGAGATGTCAAACACAGGTGTTTGTGTGTGTGTGTGTGTGTGTGTGTGTGTGTGTGTGTGTGTGTGTGTGTGCGTGTGTGTGTGTGTGTCTGTTGGGGATCCTCTTCCTATCGTCTTGTATTTTTTTGATGAATTTCATTCTCGCTCTCTTATCATCGTCCAACCCTGGTTGCCCAGGAGAGAGGGACAAGGATGGGAATAAAACGCAAACAAGTTAATGGAGAGAAAATCTGGAAAAGAGAGTCAGAGGACTGGAAAACATTACGAATTCTTTAAAAAAATAAGGTGACACAGACTTATATGAAGACACGTCACTTAAGAAAAATTTTTTTAACCAGATTTTCAAGGTGATTGACTTGGGAGCCAAAGATGAGTTAGGCTGTAAAAAAGTATTTGAACTTTTTTTTAGACTTCTCTTTTAATAAGCTAGGCTTTCTGGTTGTTGTTTTTTTATGATTTTGGTCAATTTATTCATCAGGCTTTCTATAGATTTTTGTTTTAACGTTTTTGTGGGTTTAACTAGATGAGCATCATTTATAATATGACATTAAGCTGTGAGGCCTTTCAACAATGGTCCACATCTCCTAATCCAGGGTCATGTTTTTTTTTTTTTTTATTTGCAGGTTTAGGCTTACATTTTATATGACTTGTTGGTTACTGGGAACATGATACGCTTCATTGTCATCCCAGCACCTTTTATTCAGCCCAACAGTTGTCTGTATCATAAAGGTACCAAATGTCATCTTTAATCTGTTTTTTAGGGGTTTCAGTTATCTCAACGTCCAGGTAGTATACTTACAAC